ATTATTTATATGGTCTTGCGTTGCTAGAAGTAAAATGGTCTTGCTGAAATAAGCTGGTTCATCTGTTTTTCCTCTCAAATTTATTATGTTTTTTGAAGTCAAAAATTGGGTATATGCAGTCAGTAAATAAAACCAATAGTTCCAGAGGTTGCAAAGAGCAAATTATAGCAGACTTCTGGAAGCTTCATTACTTTTCTAGAATGTTAATAAATTTCCATTTTAACATTGGTCAGTGAAGTACTAATTTAAGTTACAATACAGACTTAAAGCCACTGCCACAAAGTTGATGCCTTGTTTAAAAAGAGCAATAGAAATGTTTTACATTATGCTTATTTTCAAAAGTGAATGCCTAATTGGCTCATAGTGTTTAGGGAATTCAATCAGCGGCAACATGTTTTTAAGATCTAGGAATCTTAAAATACAGTTGCATGGAAAGGGAATGCAACTTGACTGCTTCTGCTGAATAGATCTGAATATTGCTTGAAGTTTCACTTATCTCATATGACAAGCATTCTTCTTTCGTTTTGAAGCATCTTAGATATATCAGAAGGGGAGCTTGTGTCTACAGTGTTCTAATGAACTAATTAAAATGAAATTGTGGCTGGGTAATGTTGGGGATGGGTTTCTGTTCTGTAGCATGCGACTGGTGTAATGTGCACTGACAATTAAGGCTTTCCTAAACTTTTGCTGAAAGTGTCTGGGTGTTTTCCAGCTTCTGAGGCCAGAATATGGGAATGAAGTTATCTTTAGGGAGTGACAGTGAAAAAAGACATGCAGCATGCTGAAGCTGTTTGACGCTCTGTCTGCTTGTCTTCTTGCTACAAATGTGCCTCTCTGACTTGTCTGGATTGTGAGAGTCCTCATGTTTTGTTCTTAATGGTTATCCATTAGGGGTAAGATTCAGCGAAGAACTTGAGCATACCTAAAGGTTAGAAGCTGCAATGTCCAAGCACACCTCCTGGTTCCCGGAGAGAGATGCAGACTGTCCCTCATACCTGTCAGGATTCAAATCTATACTCCCAAATCACGGGACAGTCTTGATGCTGTGCTATTCTGCAAAATGATTTATTGAATGAGAGAAAGGAGGAGTCTGGCTGAAGCCTAGTGGTTAGGGCAGTCACCTGGGGAATGGGAAATGCAGGTTACAATTCTTATAATTCCTGTAAATTATTCCATACCTTTATTAGGTCTAAGATTATCGCTGCTATACTGTACTTGAGGCTGTGCTTTGGGACTATTCAGGTAGTGAAGCTAGTAGAAAATGCCTCATCCACTTGCATAGAGCACTTATGTATAAAGAACATTCTAGTTTGTGCTGGCACCTGCACCCATTTCTACACCTGAGGTCTTGGATTTAAACTATTAAATCTTACGTGTTTTGACATGGAAAGAGCACATCTTCCTGCCATAGCTAAAGTAAGCAGAATTGCTTAAGTTTAAAAAAAAAAAAAAAAAAAAAATTCTTTTTTCAGTTAAATGTAGTTTGGCTGGTATGGCATCCTTTGCTTTGGAGCTTACTGTACATCTGATTTGCTGCATCTTTGCTGCATCTTCAAAACTTTCGCCAAATTGTTATGAGCATTCATTTATTTCTGTTTTGATGCTCCTTTATTTATTTTTTAATTTGAGGAATATTTTCCTGCAACAGTGGTAGGGCCATATGGATATCTTTCTGAAAATCTGGAGAAATAAGAAAAGGCTTGGGCTTCCTGCATCCAGTAGAAGAGATGCTGTTCAGCAATGGCACCTACTTGCCCTTCTGTTTCTTAGATGGACACTACCATTAAAATTGCTGTTTAGTGTTGGTTATGTGTGTTGGTCTGTCTTTGTATGGCTAGTTGCATACAAGAAACTGGATGAACTACTTTTTTTTTACAAAAATCTTGAGAGTAGGACTTGGTCACAAGCACTATGAATTCATTCCAGTGGTGCGGGGTATATTCAGCTTTTCAGTTCCCTGTACTATTTGGCCCTGCAGTATGTTTTTAGTTTAATTTTTGTTCAGTTCTCTAACCTAAACTGTGATGGGGTGAAGTTTGCGATTTGCTGAATATAAACTTCTCTAGGGTAAGTTGGCAACAATAATTTCTATTTGCTTTTGTAGGAAATTGAATTTTATCTAATGGTGATACTGCTTGCTTGAAGTAAAACTGCCAGTTTTAATTCACTTCTGCAATTCAAGAACTCCTTCAAGAAAGGAGCGTGCTTTCTTAGCTTTTCTGACTGGGACAAACCAACATTAGAGCAAGATGATTTAGGATGTGTCTAAGCAGTATTTCAGAGGCAGATAAGAGCAAGCTCTGCCATCTTCTGGAGCGTGTACCAGCTTTGGTAAACCTGGTGGTGAGCCTCAGCTGGTAAGTCTGGCTGGATAACTTAGCTTAGCATTGCGCTGATTTAGTTGTGCTAGCTCTGGTTTAGAGGTAACTTGCATACCTACAGCTCAGTGTAAGGGCAGGTTATCTGCCTCAAAAGTTCACCTAGGTGTTTCTGTGGAATGAGAGGAGGACAGAGGGATGCTGCTGCTTTGAGTTAGTTGCCTCAGGAAACCTTCCCCTTCTGTACCCTCGTGTAAGCTTTGCTTTGCTGATCTAGTGGATGGCCCTGGCATACTAGTACCTTCTTGATTAATCAACCATATCTTGTTCCTGAACAGATTCTTCCATCGTTCTAAGCGTCTGCTCAGTCCTTTAGTTTCTCCCAGGACAGAACCTTCATCAGGGTTCCCAATCCATTGGAAGGAACCAGGGAGCCCCAGGGGAGGCCAGGACAGAAATCAGAGGGCACCAGCCTGATACCATCATGGTCCCCTCCTCAGGAGGTACCAGAGGGGCTGTGGTAGGGCCAGAGGCAGAGCATTCCCGCTCCACACATCCGTGGTTAGCTGTGTCCCATGAGACCCTTTTTCAGTTTCATTTTTTACATGCCTTTATTTTAAGGAATAATGTTTTGTGTGGATACTAGTAAGTTTTTAAAATGGGTGTAGAAATCCCTTTGAGTGATTAAATGCACGTTGAAGAAGGGCTGAGCTGGGTTTATGGGTCTCTGTGTTGCAACCTTTGCTCCTGTATTTTTTCAGACTGTGTATTAATAGGGCTATTAATTTTGGGGGCTTATGGTATCATTACTGCTTTATAAATCGTGTTGTAATTGCATGTGAAGGTCGTTATCTGGTGAGCATTGTGCAGTACTGGAAGGTCAGGACTCCCAGTTGAAGTTTTGAAGCACAGTCATCTTGTGACGTGATGAGAAAAAACTTCTAAGGAAATGGTCCCTTAAGGCTTTCCATTATAGTTTTAGAGTGATCGCACAATTAAAGGATCAGGTACTAAAAGCTTGGTTTGTTTGCTAATCCTCATTTGTATATTAAAAACGATAATCCTGTAGACTTCTCTTGCACTGCTTTTTAATATACAGCCGTCGCTGTTGTATGAGTAGTAGTGGGAGGATCAGTGGGAACACGGCTGTTGATAGGGAGTAAGCAGGCTCTTGTTCTGATTATTTTGAGGTTTTTTTCTTTTTTAATTTCTCCTTAAGCAATATTGTCTACACCTTTGCTAAGCAGAGTTTGGCGGTGCCTAAAGTACTGGTGACAGCCAGAGGTAGCATTTATCCTGAGGAAACATTAACCCGTTACCATTTTCAATGGGAACAGTAGTGACAAACTTGGCAGGGGGTGGTGGTGGTGGGAGCAGAGGTCTAATGGAAGTACAGCCATTGGCTGCCTCTTTAACCTGTGGAGAGGGATGATATTGAACTAGACAAATGCTGTTTAAAGAATTGGGTAATTAGTAGTCTTGTCACTCTATGGATTAGCATTTTGAATTGCTTTCAGTAAAAATGCAAACTGCCTTTATTATTTCTGTCTTTCAAAAAGCACATAATTGAAAATTATTTTGTTATTTGAGTTGCTTCTTTGAATCGCCTTCAAAACTGAGATTTTTCTTTAATCTGAATAAATGGATTTAGTTGTTCGCTGAATGGCAATATGTTAAAGATTGGGTTTGTGCCTTGCATAGTGCCCCACCTTGTCTGGGTGTTGAAAAGGTAGAAGGGTCTCACCCCACTTTATTTCTTGTATGGGGTAGCAAAACCCAACCTAACCGGGTGTTAAAGTGGGGTGAGACCCTTCTACCTTTTCATTTCTTGTATGGGGTAGCAAAACCCAACCTAACCTATGATCTCCACATTGATCTTAAAATAAATATTAATAAGTTTATGAATATTTCATGATCTCTCAGCAGTCTTTTCACGATCTCTTTTTCATTCCTTCAACTGACTAATGCTGGGGTCCCTGTCTGCATTCCGTGTTTTCAAGCAGTATTTATCCTCTAGTGGACTGACTTCTGTAATCCAAGAACTGCTAGCTTGTCATCATCAATGCAGTAGGCAGCCAAAACTTGGAAGGGAGAATATAACCATTTTTAGATGTTTGCACATGATCTCACCCTAATGTTGTGGTGTGGGGTTTTTGGACGACTTCTCTTCCCCCCGCCCCCCTCCCCCCTCCATTTATTTGAATATTTATTTAATCTCTCTCTACCTGGGACTCTGACTTGGGGCGGAGCAGTAAAGTAGTTGCAAGCCCTCTTGTCTTGGGCATTTTTGGAGAGGAGGAGGAAAGGTGTGAAGGCATAGACTGTGGTCCTCCTTCTGGTAGATGCTGGTTTGGAAGCTTCTGCTCTAGCAGCTGAGGATAAGATGATCCCAAATGGGGAGGAGGGAGGGAGGAGAATGTCTAAGGCACTTTGCTGGAGGTAAGTAGCCAGTCTTTAGATATTAAAAAAGCTTGACAGCTGTTTTTTTAAAAGCAATTCAGATAATAAAAACAATCTAATAAATTGTGAGCACTTCACTATTACTTTCAATTGCAAAGTTCAACAAACTTTGTATTTCATTCCATTATCTAGTATTAATAGTTAAAAAAAAAAAAAGCCATACAACAAAAAACCTTTACACTTATCTAACATGCTGCTTGTTTCTACTTGTTTTATTTCTAGCATATTATCAAGTTTCACCGTGCCTCAAAAGCAAATAAAAAGCCCATGCAGTTGCCAAGATCTATGGTTAAATCCCTACTCTACCAGATCCTTGATGGAATCCATTATCTCCATGCAAACTGGGTGCTTCACAGAGATCTGGTAAGTGTTGCAAGTATTACCTGGTTAAGAAAGTTTCATGTGCATGTTGTTGGGTTGGAGAAAAGTCCCTATTAGTAATCTTGCATATCGATCCATACAGCTTTTCCTGTTATTGTTGCAGGAGACCAATGGAGACTTCAAACATGAAAACAAACTGTGTTTTCACATTGTTTTTATCTGAGTCATCTGAGCTCAGACAATGATGCTAGTTCCGGTAAAAGGATTGCAGATATCAATATCCGAAAACAGTATGCGAGCCAGCTAATATATGTTGGTTGAACATTCTTATAAGTTGTGCACGGCTTTGAAAAGGCATTTAAGTAGGATAGTGATTGATACCCTTCTGCATTGTTTAGTTTACGTGCAAGTTACCATAAAAGCTAGTGAGAGAGTAATTTTTTTTCATGGAGTATTTCTTTTCCATGTGGTATTTTTTCTGACCGTGGGAAGAGAACTATGAAAGAGTTGTCATCTTGAAATTTCTCATGACCTGAAGTGGCTCTTTAAGTTGATCGCAGGTTACAAGGGCAACCAGTTGCCTTGTCTTAGTTACCCTGTTCCCCTTAAAGTTTCCCACCACTCCTCATACTTAAGCGAAGTGCTACCAAGGGTTGCAAAAAGAAGATACTAATATGGGTGTAGTGCGTTGTAACTAGAATTTCTGGCATGAGACAAACAACACGATGGTTAATATGCCAAATCTGTTCTAGCAGTTATGCTACTGTAACATCAGCAGAAATGAAGTGTAGTCTGTGTATAAAGCCACTACTCTTAGTTATGTTTCGTAGTTACCCTAGTAGGTCAAAATAGAGATGCATGTCCAGAAACTTATAATTGCTAATTAAGTTTTGTGACACATAGATCGTTCTTGAGTCTTGAATAGTAAATAGGGTCTTAGATTAATTTTTGGATGTAGAGCAAATGTTTTCTTAAAAGATATGAATAAACGTAAGGCAGGCCTGGAATACAAGTCACAGACATCTTCTGAAATGAATTTTATTTAATTTTTGTCATAGTACTTAATAACAGTGGCCAGAAGCGAGGTTTCTGGTTTTGGTATGGATCATGTTTGGTTTTTTTTTTACCTTGTTCCTTGGTATTTATTGTCGGTTCTTCTGTTAAATTCCAGATGTTACTGAATTTCTGTGGTGGTTTGGTGTGTGGGTGTGGTTGGGTTTTTTTTGTTTTGGTTTTTTCTTTGGAATAGTAGCCATGAGCAAAAGCAGGAAGCAGGTACAACCCTGATTTTCTTGCTACAATTATTACTCTTTGCTAAGGAGACAGCTGTTGCTTTGGCAGAGTGCTGAGATGTAATTAGATACAGCTTGAGAAGGAACACCTGAAAAGTCTATATTCACCTATGTTTAAGGGAAGTATATGTGTTCAGGGAACTATTAAATATATACACTCAAATGCCATACATGAACTTGATATCTTGGTAGGAAATATAAGATGGTATCTCGGATAATAATCACAAATACCCTAGAGAATTTTCTTACTGGTGTTGCTATTTCCAGCTTGCAGCACCGGGTGTTTTACATGACTAGTGCTGCTACTTTACAGGTCTTAACTGTTGTTGATGTGTTGCAGCAAAGCTGGTGCCTAATGTCTTTTGTCTTTTCTCTTGGAACTTTGGGAGGTGATGGTTGCTGTTATGAAAAAGACAACTATTTTTCACGCACTGGAATGAGATAGTGCTTGATTGATGTTGATAATTGAGAAGGGAGAAGAACAGAAATTTGTGAAGTCTTAATGTGTTCTTGGTATGCAAATAAATTTAAGCTAATGGATTCTGGGATACCTCGGTGAGAGGAAGGGGAAAAAAAGCATTAAAAAAATTGCTTTGGTACATTGCTGATTTAAGGGTGTATTCAGAATCTTTTGCCTTTTTAAAAGTTATTGCAGCTTTCTGAAGAACGTGGGTATTTAAAATAGTTCTTCAGTATCTTGAACACCGTAAGAAAAAACTGATGTTATTCTGGATATGTCCTGTCTGCTTTTGAAATTAGGAGTTAGTGATAATTTAGTAACCAATTTAAATTCTAGGTTAACCAAAAATTCTATATATCTGTAATTTTTATTCATATGCTTATATATGTGATTTTTGCTTCTAAGAACAGTACCTCAGGCATGATTTCACTGCATAATACATAAATACCAACTCTTCAGTGTTGTCATAAGATAGGGAGCAGTTTGTGTGGTGATTTTCTCTTAACTGTTTCAATTTACATCTGCTGGAAAGATATTTTTCTATTTTATGTAAACCAATGTTTTGCATCAAGACACCTTGTACTTCCCTGGTTTAATATAACTCTGTTCTTACTATTTTTAGCGTGCATTTGGATGTAGACCAAAGATAGTGACATCCATAAAAGTCATGCTATGCTTATTTTATTGCTTTTAATAAAAAAAAAAATAGATTCTCCAATAATATTTATCATAATATTAGCCAAATTCTCCTGAGCCGTGGAAATGACCTTTAGAATTTATTTAACAAATCTTGCAGTGAAAAAACCAGAAACATGGGAGGTTAGGTATTTGTGAGAGTACGTGCTTGGAGGTATTTGAAGAACATTGTTCAAATCTCAATTCGGTGCTCTCTTAAATCAAAGAGTTTCTAAAAAGAATAAAATACCAAATGTGCTTTAAAAAAAAAAAAAAAAAAACCAAACCCAAAAACTGGTTCTCAGTGGATCTGTATTTTTAGATACCTTAAAATTGTTACTCATAAGTTAATTTTAAGATCAGCAGTAGCCAGCAAAAGTATGACAGAGTAATAAAACTGGTGGACAACACTGAACTTGCAGACCTGCAGTACATGCCATGTCCTTGGGCTGAGCTAGTGAATAGTTTCTTCCACAAGCAGCCAGCCTTGTTCCCCTCTTCACTACAACTTTGCCATTGCCACCCATTTTAGTGGCCTGGGAGGTGACACTCACCTGAGTCACGGCGAGCTCGTTCAGGGAGTTAAACCTGCAGAAAGTATTTGCTCTTCTCCTGCAGGGCTCATTTTCTGCAGGATCAACTCCCTGAGGGATCTCGCTGGGAGCTCACGCGCATGCAGGAGCTGGCGCAGAAGCAGTGTGAGGCTGGAGGTGGTGGCAGAAAGCTGAGCAGGTCATCCTGGCATCATTAGCCATTAGATCAGATTATTTTATTGTCAAAATGCAACTTTTTAATTCTTAGACGAAAGTACAAGTGTTTTTAAAAGATTAAATTCAGTTGTGGTTCTAAATCAGCACAATCTGTGTTTACCTTTAATCTCTTCTGATCCAAGACTTAGTCAGCTTGAACTCTAACATATGTCCAAATTTAGGAAAGTGCCCAAACTGAGGCAAACTTTAACACCAAATACACTTCTAGAAATACAAAAATAGTTTACTGTAGTGTATATTTTAATTTATTGTAATATTTGGGTTATTTTGGTTTTGTTTTTCCTATTCTGAAAGTAGTTTAAAGGTGCTACGTGGCTTTTCAGGTACATTTTTTAGCTAACTGTGAATGTCAGTTAAAAAATACTCAGCAGTAACTTTCTTTACTCCAAGATTCAAGCTGGTACAGAATATGGGACAGGAGCTTTAGAATTTTGATTTCTTTGAATAGCATTGAGTCAGTTTGTACTCCTTGGATTGACATAAGTCTGTAAAAATCCATACATTTGTTCTATCAAGCCATTTGGAATAGGATTTTGTTATTGGATTGCACGTTGTTGGGCAATGATAATTTTGCCTTTTTAATGCAGCAGCACTCCTGAAAGCCACGTGTGAGAGGAGGAAGGCTTTGCTGGCTCTGCTAGCTGCTGGACATTTCATTATAAACAAGATGTTAATATAGATAAATATTAGAGAAAGAACCTTCTGGTACCAAGCTTTTGTTTCTTAAAGTGCTCTGCATTACACCGTGTTCTGTCCACTTGGAGATCTAAAATTGTGTTCTGTACTTTGAGTCAATAGTGAGTTAGAAGATGAGGTGTGTGGAGTACAGTATTTGAGGGTATTATCTTTGTCCCCTCCTCCCCCAAACGTGAGTTATTTAGATTCTACAGGAATGTTCAGCAAAGGCCTTACTTTGCAGAGATGTCTGAAAATGGAGATCTTCCATATGCTGTTCACAGTGCGTGTTCATGGTAGCAACAGAAAGGATTTGGCCACTTTTTCTCGTGCTAATAACCCTTCTGTAGTTGATGTTAGTTGCTTAAGGACAAAAGCAGGCACAGACCACTTCCTTTAGAACTTGATAAAAGCTATTTCTATTTGTAATAGGACGTATTTTCCTGGAGGGAGGTATTATCTATGCGATGTTTTAAGAGCACAGAAACCATACTGAGGAATTCATTTAAGATTCCACTTAGTCCTTGAGCATTTCTTTAGTATTCTGCTTAATGTTATTAAAACTCCTGGTTGAAAAACAAATGTTGGAAATCAAACTAATCAGAGAAATGACGATTTCCCTCCCCCTCCCTCTAGGATTGTGTTAAATGGTTGCTTTCAGCATTCTGAAATCAGAAACTTGCTCACTGCAATAGCTGTATAAACTAACTTTGTAAAATGAGCCAAGTTCCTAAAGTGTTTTTCTCATGATTTTGAATACTCGTTGACTACGAATTTCCTGGTTTCTCTGGGATTGCCCCTCTACAGCTCTAGAATGTCTAAAGTGACTGCGTATGTTGTTTTACAAATGAAGGAGATTAGTTTAGAGCAAAAGTCTTGTAGATGGAACAACAGTGATAAACGTGAAAAGACTCAATGTTAGACATGCCTTTGGACTCACAATTTTGGTTTACAAACAGAAGGCAGAGTTAACATGTTCTGGTGGAACAACAGGTGTCCATGAGTCTTAACATTGCAAAGATTTCAAGTAAATTCCTTTTCACTCTAATAATTGATTTGTATTATTCTGTTTAGAAAAAGATTTAGGTGTCTGAAGCAGAAGTGAGACGGAAGGTAGGTTGTAGACAAGGTGGTTCCCTGGGCAGGTTTGGATGGGATGTATAACTTACT